GAGGGCCAAAAGCTGAAGCTTCACTATAGAATCTTCCAGAAAAAGCCTTTCCAAGAAGACTTTAAAGTTAATGGAATTTATCAATTACAAAGTTCCCCAAAATGGTTTTTAACAATTTCATTTTACAGTAATTGAAGAAAAGCTCTATTTAAACATTTCTTTCACAATAGCTCCAGATAGGACACGCAGACTTCTAGAGCAGATTCAAACTGATAAAATCTAGTCATCAAAAAAGAGTGCTTGAAACCGGTTTAGAGATTGATACACTCACATTTTAAATTGTGCTAACACTAAGGAGATAATATAATATTCAACAAAGAGAAGTACTTTCACAAGCTTCATTGAGGCAGACAGGACTATATGTAATGAATACCTCTTTCCTTTTAGTTAACTTATTATGAACAACCTCAAGCTCCTGCAGTTCTATATTGCTCTGGTGAATTTTCTGCCTGAAAAAAAGATGTTGATCATCAAGTTCGTGTGTGTGACCCACAGACATGAGCACCCAAGGCACATTATGACCAAAATTAATTACCTTTCATTCTTCAAATTTTCTTCCACCTTTGACACATTTTCTTGTAGTTCAACCATTTTTGCACCGGTATCCTCATAAGCCAATTTTGTGGCTTTCTCTTGCCATTTTAAGAGAGAGAGCTCTTTCAGCATGTAAGCTTCTGCCTCGTTCTTGACATCCTGTTAGAGATGCACAGCAAGATGACCAACACATTTGAAAATGATATATTAAACTATCAACATGAAGTAATAAGTAATATGTACAAACCTCCAAGCTATCTCTCTCCTTCTCTGCCAATTTAACCATTTGCACAACACCCGTTCGTTTTTCGTTGAGAGATTCTAACCTAAAGGCAATTGGAAACAACATACATGTTTATATGACAATAGCTTGGAATAGTTATAGAGAAGAAACAAGAATAAGAAACATGCAACTCTATATAAATTGGATAGAAAAATACTCACTGCTTATATGAATCCTCAATCTTTTCAACATATTTGTCAGTTCCTATTATGTCCTCAAGATATTCAAGAAAACCTTCATCATGGGGCCCTTGTGCTTTTGGCTTCATTAGTGAAATCTGCTCCACCTCTCCCTAATGGCATTGCCAACCAACTTGAATATTTGGAAGCACACAAAACTTTAGCTAAAAACACAAGCACTTTTAATTATTATAACCTGAAGAATCAGAAAACGGTTGTTGTCCAGGTCAATTCCTTTCCCTTTCAGTTTCTTGGTAACCTCAGTAAAGTTACTAGATCGATCATTAATGTAATATTTAGAGGAGTTGTCTCGAAACGCAACACGAGTAATAACAAAATCACTGCCATGTACAGCTTCATATGTTCCATCCTCCTGCGTTCATTTTTTCATTAGAAAATTATATGGAAGCGTAAATTCAGAAATCCCCTAAAGTTCCAAGAAAAGCTGTTTACCTAAAGTCAAGAAAGAATCCTTCAAGTTATTATTTATTTTTATTAATGATTATTATGTAATTGTCATTATCTCCAATTCAACATGAATTCATGACTTCATTATTAAAAAGGTGGAGTAAAAAAAAAATTACAATACATTGAGTTTTGAAGAAACCATTGTCTTAACTAAACAGAGACTTTCTTTCAACAGGACTTAAAGTTTTGGCATCATTTTCTTAAATTGCCTTAGCATGGTTGATAACAAAACAAAAGTTTACCTGATCAATAATATCTTGAAAATGAACAGAAACACCTGCACTGTCCAGATTCTGGTGATTAGTGGAATTATGAATAAGCTCTGAAACTTTGTTCAGCCGCATCTGCACATTTATATGGATACGATCACTCACAAATTGTACAGATAAAA